ATGACAAAATAAACATTTGAAACAAGATAAATGGTCTATGCTTAATTTCATGAAGTGTGTGATTAATCGCGATTAATCACAGAAAAAGGGTGTGATTAAAAAATAATTTGATTTAAATTTGATTAAAAATGTTAATCTATTGACAGCCCTAGTATAAACAAACATGATGATGATGATCTTCATTCAACCGATCCTTTTTTCCCTTTACATAAAATAACACACAGACACACATCATGCTATATGGTGTACTTGAGTAATTATTTGTAAATTCAGTTTGCTACTGTAGCGTCTGGACCAATCAAACACACAATATATATTTTGTTAGCTATATTTAACAAATACTCTGTAACACCCCTCAGTTAACAAGCCATATGAGGCCTATGGACCTTCCCCCGAAATGCGTAACACCCCAAGTTGTCTGTGAACGAGGCCCAGGACCCTGGTTACCATGGCAACCCTGACACCAGATAGATTTTACACTTAATCATGCAGATTTATGCTACAAGCTCTGTGTAGAATTGTACAGTAAGAAAGTTATTTCCCTTAACCAGGAAATTAACGTTCTTAGAATTGACAGACAGTTGACCCTGAGAGGTCAAGTAAATATCTACAGCGAATCTAAATATTTATAATTAATTATAACTAGTTATGATTAATTATTCATATTTCCCCATGAGCTGATTCGCTACACTACTCAGCTCTCAAATAAATCTCAGTGTTCAGCTTTACTTCTCTCTCCATTATTGCACTACATAAAAAGCTTTTATTAAACCGGAAGCAATTTTTGCTAATGGCTGTAGATGACTCATGGTTAGTTCATATCTATTTTATCTTTCCCCTAAAACATGCTTTTTCTCTCTGTCTTAATTTCCCTACAACATTCAGAAATCCTTATCTATTATGTCATATAATATTTTTAAATAAATTAATACTTTTATTCAGCAAGGATGCATAACATTGTTCAAAAGTTACAGTAAAGACATTTACATTGTGAGAAAAGATTTCTATTTAAAATATATGCTGCTCTTTTGAACATTCTTTTGAAATATTTTGATCAAATAAATGCATTTGTTTGTGAGCATAAGTGACTTTCTTTCAAATACATTGGAAAAAAATCGAACTAATTTTAACCCTACATTTTTGTACATAAAATGTTTATGTATATGCTATGTCCCATGTAAATTGAAATCTGCTTGTTTGTGATGACTTTGATGTGCTGTATGTAACTATTTTGAATGTTTTGTTGTGCTTTAAGAGAGAGAGAGCAATTTTCCCTGGAATGGAAGAGAGAAATAAAGGAAGATTTTGCATAGAGATTTGAGTGTGTGTGAGTAATATTAATGTGAAATGCTTCAAATGAAGGTTGCGTTTGACCTGCCCCAGTGCAATCTCATGAACAATCTTATATCCCTTGGGCTCCTGTCTCGTCATCACACACACAAAAAAGGAAATTGGGTTTTGACTACACTTTGTAGACGTCATATTCATAATCCATTATCCTTGTGATATTTAATCACATCAGGATTATGATATGTACCATATCCACAAGAGACAGAAACACTACGAGTCTCTATCAGTTCAGCAAGGGTATTAAGATTCATTGTCACAATCCTTAAAAGCGTTTACAAACTATTTTTTTCCTTGATAGTCCTCATTGTAGCAGTCTGGGACCTTGTAAACAAAACTTTCAACTTTCCCTTGGGGCTGATAAAAATCTGTACCCCAGCCAATCAAATTAGGGCTTGATGTTTTCTAAAAGCTCTTACAATTTTTGTGTGGAACATACATCAGGCATTTTATAAACAGTCTGTGGCCATGCCATCTAAGCTAGTAACAATGCCTGACCGTAATGACCTTAATATCTGCCCATTCATCTGCTAATAAAAAGCACTAGCTATATTTCTGAAACCCTGCAGAGGAAAGAAAAAAAAACACATCAGATGGCTTAGGAAACAAGAGTTTGGCTCTGATGACTTATGAGACTGATGTCTGCCCTTTAGCTCTCCATATATGCATTTTACACTTGTATTTTATTTAAAATGTAATGCTTTTATCATAAATTCAGTCTTCACAAGACACTTCAAAAATACATTTAAAATATGAAAACTTTTCTTTAAGCTTGAAGTTCTTTAAAGTATGAATAATGAGTATAATAATTCATATGCAATGTATCTTTAAAGATAATAATTATTTGGTCATCTGGGTGAAGCTTTTGTTTTCCCTAAGGCAACAATGATGATGAGCCCTGCATGAGAAAAAGCTAAACAGCACTTAGACTGGGAAGAATCATAAATCTGGCAGACTGGTCTTTTTCTGTGATTTTAATGAAAGATGAATGAATTCAGTGGCTGTATAGGAGGTTGAGAATATTATACAGCAACCAGAGTTATTCTGCAGCAGTTTAGTTTGTAATATTGAAATGCATGCATGCAAGACTCGCATGTCCTAATCTCTTCTCATAGTTTTCTTATAAATTAAAAGACCTTAAATAAATAAAAATAAACTGGTAGATTGACATTAGGAGGCTCGTATTCATCCATAACATCCACATTTTTATTTTGACACATTTGCCATTATATTGATTCTTTATGAAAACCTTAATGCTGCCTCCCAACATCTTCCATTCCTCTCATATCTTCACTCCTCATCTTCAGTTTTTTTCTGCTTTACTAAAACATCAAACGTACTACAACATCAAGCACTACCTCATCTCACCGGCACATATTAAAGGACTTCCGCTATAAAAAATGTAACCTTTGCAATCAATACATCAGCCGAAATGTACAGATCTCATACCTATCCTTAATCATGTATTTCAGTTTGTGGACAAGCATTACTATTGTTACTGTTCATATTTAGGGTTAAGGATTTGAACAAACACCTGACAGTATTGCATTTTGGCATATAAGTTGCCTTAAATCTTTGGTTTGATAACTAAATTGCGTGGCTTGCTAAGCAGAGGGGTTTTACAAAAAGTTTCTTCACCTTGTGAATGACAAAACTCCACACCAAAAACCCAATAGAATTATTTTCTAAAATCCTATAGAATTACAAAGAAAGGGGTCTGAGCTGTCTAATCTAAACTAGTTTTGAATAGGCAAGCACCACTCATATTTCTAAATAGTTGTAATTATTATCAAAATCAAACATTTTTCAGCAGGGGTTCAAATGCCATGTTTTTCTGGACACTGGTCTTCCAATGAAGTGACACGTGCACTGAATCATAAAAACGTCTCATCATTTATCAGCATATGCTTGAGGAAGCTCACTACAGCATAAATCTGTGTGCAGTCAGCCACTGATAAAAATCACATGTACAAGCTGACAGGCTGTTCAGATTAGTTTGCACCATGTATGTAGTGCTGCTCTATATGAATTATAAGCTGAGTGTTGGAGCACATGGCACAGATTTATCGATCCGGCACTAAATCATTGAAGAAAACTCCTAGAAATCACTACCACAGCCAGATGCATCATGATTTATGTGCACTGCTGTTGGTAGGTGCTGCCCAGAACAAAGCATTGATATGTGGAGCTATAGTTTGTGGTGAGCTAGCTACAGGCTATAACTATTCTTTTTTATAAGTTTCTTTATGTTATTTATAAGAAGCTCTTGGACTTCAGCAACTTTCTCTTAAAAACAGAGGAATTTGATACTGGTCAGGAATTGCAGTTACACTTGTGCATCTATAAGCTCAGCATGTCAGGATCCTGCCCTGACAGTCTTGTCTGTCCTTTCTTTGTTTAATGTATCTTTGTTTATTTTGTGCCTGAGCACATGGCTGTTTCTTTGTTTGTGTTGGCCATGTGCTCCTTTTGTCCTGCCACCTCATTTTCAATCACCACGCCCCCTTGTTTAGTCCTTGTTTGTCCAATTGTGTTCACCTGATCCTCGTGTGCTCTGATCCCTTTATATTGTACTCATTTCCCTCTGGTCTTTGCTGGTTTGTTTTGTGTGAGCTTCATGTGCATTCTCCTTGCTTGTGTCTTGCTGGAGTTTGCCTTTCAGTGTTTTGCATCCAGTCTGGTTTTGTTTTTGCCCTCCTTTTAAATTCTAGTTTTTATTTGTTCCTGAGTTTAGTTAATATATTAGCCTAGTTCTAGTCTTGTGGTTTAGTTCTTTATTTTTGTAGTTCTTAACCTTTTGATTAGTTCTAGTCATTTATTCTCTGCTTTTTCCCTTTTGTTATCCTCTTTGTTTTCACAAGTCTGTTAAATATTTCTGGAACTTATTTTATTACTTTTTCCCCTTTGTTTTATTTCTTGTTTATCCTTCCTAGTCATTGTTTTGCAAGTTCTTTCTTTTGATCGGTGTTTATCTCTTGTCTCCCCTGTTGCCTTGTCCTTGTCTGTGTGTTTGTCGAGTTGGTTCCTGCCCTGCTTCCTGAGTCCTCCCTGGTCGATGTGAAGAGTCTTCTGACCTGTCAGGCATTTTTGTGCTTCATGTGTACTTGTATACTTGTCCAGTAAGAGAATGCAAATCAAATTTTAGAGAAAGTTTTACAGTTGAGTTTTCTTTGAATTGAAACTTACGGTGTCCATTCAGTGATATAGCAGTACATTAGTCTTCGGGCATGATATGGAAGCCAGCACACCACAAAAGCAATGACCACGGCACCTGTGGAGCATAAAATAATAGGTAAAACAGTGATAATAAGCAGTATTTCAACAATTGTGCAATAATATATGTAAATGAACAGATTTGAAGAGCTCTGCTGGTGGTTTCAGCATGAAATTTGGTAGAAACCGATGACTCCTAATTTGTTTCCTGACAGAAATGGATTCGTATCTGCCAATTTTACATGAGCCATTTATTTTTCTCTGATCCTTTACCGATCCCATTTCAATTTATCCAGGTCGGATCCGAGTCAAGCAGGGATTGACTCACTAATCTCTGTTGTGTCTTTGTATGAGGCTTTTGACTAGAGGAAAAAGGCTATTGATCTCTCGTATAGTGTGAGGCAGTGGTGGCACACATTTGCTTCCTAAATCGGTTTCTTCACACTTTATGTCCATATAATTTTTTTAGTTAGCTTCAACATTATATGCCTTATTCAAGAAACACAAGCAGAATGAATTTCTGTGTAAGCTGTATGAACAACCATTCGTATGCAAATTGTCAGACAGTTGAATATGATTTAAACAGATGGCTTTACATAGCAATTTATTTTGCCTGTGTTACATGAATAAACCCTAATGCAAATATGGCAGATTATAAATCATGTACAGCTGGATCGGATCTGCAGCATCCATTGAGATGAATGTGAATGTTAACATATTCCAGGTATTATTGACTGCCTTGGTCATGTTGTTAAAAACAATTGGCAGTAATTATATTTTATTGGGATTTCATTACAAAAAAAAAGGACTATTAAATATTTAATAGTCAACTTTTTAATGATGAAATACCAATTGGTTTTTAACCTGTTTTTTAAAATAATATATTTAAATCTAATATATTTAAAAAATAATATACATTTTTTTATATGTATATTAATAAATTTATTAAGTATTATGTATTAAGTAAAATATGAATACATTAATATTTTTTTATTATTATTTGTTAATTTATTTATATAAAAAGTTTTTAAATTTCTTGTTTTATTTGGCCCTTTCGGACAATAAAGCATTGAATTTTTCATTTTAAATAGGCAAACTGCAGTAAAGCTATTGAAAAATATAACATAGTCAAAAATATAGTACAGGGATTTTTTGGGGGGATCATTTTTTAACCTGTCCATCGATCTTCTGAATGAAATGATTCACAAGAATGAATCACTTTTTCTCATGCTACATATGAGAGAGGACTGTTTAGGACAAACTGATTGTTAATGTAAGTTAGCAGTGGCAGCATATATATTTACTTCCTGCAACATAACTAAATATTCTGTTATATGATCTACCATTATTTTATGTGCAGCAAAATAGCAAATAATTTGTTATTACACTATTTACCAGAACTATGGAGAATATAAGCTTGGCATGGGATTTTACATCAGTTTCATTACAACCAAGCACTAGTTCACTTCAAGCAAATTTGTTCATCTCTCAGTGCCAAAACAGAGAACTGCTAAAACCATAGGCATTTAATTTCTTTCTGGATCAAACTAGTCACCCATTTGTCACAGTTTGTGATTTAAATGGCTGTGTGTGTGTGTGTGTGTGTGTGTGTGTGTGTGTGTGTGTGTGTGTGTGAAATGCACAGATTCTTATCTCAAAAGTTATTTAAATTGTGTGCATAACACACTAGCATCAGATTGCAGATCTTCTGTTGTTTGTTACTGCAGATAAATGTTTGTTCTGCTGTCTCTGCAGTGTGTGTGTGTGTGTGTGTGTATAATTGTGTGCGTTTGTCTACGAAAGAGAGAGATTTATGGAGAGATTCATCTTCCCTTTGAAATGTCAGCAGAAATGTTGATTCATATAATCTTCACTTTTGTGAATTATATGAACAACAGTCCTTGTGTTTTCTTCTGCTTTTCTTGAATGGTTAAATCTTGCCCAGGGTTCTTCTGGTTACCCAAATTGAATTAGTTTTTCTTTATATAAGACTAGAAGCAATTAAAAGATAAAGCCCAAGAGAAGGAAGCTGGAGACAGATAAATATTGGCCTCAGTTTGTTTCTTTTGAAAATGGCAATCTGTCTCAGTTATCAGGGGTTTCCACCACCAGCAATCACATTAGTGGAAGCTTTGTCCTTTCTTTTGATCATTTATTAAGATGCATAAAAATATTGAGCAGTAAAATAATTGCGAAAGCCAAAATTGCTTATCAGAAGTCTCTGCTCCCAGTATTTCACATTATCAAAGTTAAAAAGTTAATATGCTTATGTAACATTTTTGTAAGTGTTGCTCTTCTCATTTCAGCACACTTCAGCAAAATGGCCAACTGCTTTAAGCAATTTGGCTGTAACTCTTTCACTGCGGTTAATTCGAATCCTTCACCACCACTCTAAATGATCTTGTTTTCTTTGATGAATTTAATTTTCTCCTCATTCCACCAGTCTATCTCCTTATCTTATCACTAATGGAGCAGTAAACGAATAAGTCACTCATATCTGATGTTAATGTCTCAGGACGCTGTTGGCCCACAGCCATGGATGAAATTCTAGAAATTCAATCATGAATACAATTTTGTCTGATTAACTTTGAAATGGAAGGCTGAATGAAGGCATTTGGGTACATGCATGTGTTATGTATATATATGTGTGTGTGTGTGTGTGTGCGTTTCAAAAGGCAGACTTTTTTATTCTCAAAGCCTGGCTGATTCCACTCCTCCAAATAGCTTTGGATTTATAAAGAAACATAAATACAGATCAGTGGCACCTCACAGCGGAGGATTATGCCCTTTACACAGCAAAAAACACACTGACTGCCTCAGACAGCGCTGTGGACACAAATAAATAATGTGTACAGCATACAAACACACGCTGCCTACACAATAATGCTGTATTTTCAGTGATTATCAGGAGCTGCGTGAAACAAAAACAAGTTTGTCCATCTCATGTTATTGTACCAGTCTGTGCTGATTTCATTTGAAATCAATAGATGCATAAATGAATTCACAAATGACAAAAATCTTGCCTGGTGCTGTGCTTTAATAAGACTTAATTAGTTCTATTATTTTAGGTTGCGAATATGGTAATTAGGCTGTGCTACTGAGTATTTTGTCTGTTAAATTTTGCATCCAACCCACTTTCATTCTTGGGGGTGGGGGGTTGGGGGTCAGTCTTATTTAGCAGATTAAGACTTGAATTATTCATGGAGCTTGTGTCAGGCATATTTGTGCGAGAAACAGCAAATGCTATACAAAATGGTGTGTAATATCTTGTGAGCAGCAATTACTAGCATCTGAAAAGGACCAGAGATGGCTCTTCCTCTTCTCAGTCAGAGTGACGCTTCCTGACACAGTTCTTGCACAGGGTCAATGGGCACCTAATCACATTGCAAGCCAATGGGAATAGATCTTCCTCTATTCCTTTCACTCTCTCTACAAATGTGAATCCATAAGTAATGATGTCTTTCTGCTTGCTGTTTGACTTTGTCTCTCCTAAATGCTGTCATGAAGTTAGATGCCATCCTTAAGGACATTTTTTTTTCTTAAATACGCAGTCACTAAGAAGGTACGGTAAGAGATATTCCCTCAAGGGTGAAATTTTGTTACAAAGTTTTGTAAAAAAAAAAAAAATCTTATCCACATTAAACATAACTTGACATCAGGAAGAATGAGCCAAAAGAGAGAAACTTTATTTCAAGGACAAAAAGTAACACTTATAGATAATAAATTAGGCAGATAATTATAAAAGTACAACACAATGAAACAAAGTAGTTGCAGGCTAATCATAAATATTCAGAAAAATGTCCAGATCATCACAACAGATGAACAAGTTAAAATATGTTACAGTTTCTATGACCCTTTTTTATTTATTTCGAAATGATTGCTTAAATACTTGTACTGCCTAACAGCAAATATGTTTGTAATTAGCAAAATTCTATATACACATTCCTGTAACTTTATTCTCTTGATAATATGCAATTTGTTTATCTTAAATATTAAAAAAAAAAAAAAATCCTCACATTTTGTTCACATTTGACTGAATACAGTGATATTTTAGTATTATTTATAATCTATTAGTATTTATTAGTGTTTTGAATTAGCTTGTTCTTTTTTATGAGTTTTAGTATTTTTTTATGTGCTTTTGTCAGTTTTATTTGTTTATATATATATACAGTGGGTACGGAAAGTATTCAGACCCCCTTCAATTTTTCACTCTTTGTTATATTGCAGCCATTTGCTAAAATCATTTAAGTTAATTTTTTTTCCTCATTAGCTTTAATTTATTTAGTACTTAAACTTATTTTGGATAGTTGACAAGTCATCATTTCTAATTTTCTTTTTCTTTCCCTTTTATAAATGTATGTAATTTCATTTCATTCAGTTTTATTTTGACAATTAAAATGTAGTTTTAATGTAATAACAACACAGATGAGCACACACTTATCTTGATTGTATGAGATTTTTAAAAAGAAAAAGGTTTGCTGTGGTTCTGTGTCCCTACAAACCCCACTAGCCTAACTGATATCTTTCTCTTATTCTTTTTCATTTTAGAACTTTGAATACAGAACATCATCAGAACTGCAGATTTACTGAACTTCTCTAGATGTCTCACTAAGTGCCTTTGGATCCAGTTCAAGAATGAAAGTGAGTAATTCTGATTCTCATCTTTAACAGCACTCCATATAAATTCAAATTCAGCAAATGTAGAAGTGAACTGAGACAACATTATAAATTGAGAAGAATGGATAAGAGCACTCCCAACACTCTCTGACCCTGTACAAACCTGCCGGGCACAAGAAAGTGTCCTCTGCAGATTTGCTTTAATTAGAGTCTTTCAGTCAGCAATTTGCTGGCTCATACATCAACTATGGATCACCTCACCCACTCACGCTGTCACACTGACAGATGAAGTGTTTTAGGGGCAAACTGCTTGATTCTTAGCAAACTCTATGGGATCTATTCAGACACTGCATGATCGGAAATGGTGAGAAGAAAAGGTGAACAACCTATAATGGGATGTGGAAATAATTGACTGTAGTTAGGTCAAGTGTAAGAGAACAT